CAAGGTCAGCGCGGGACTCGGGCTTCCCCGGGCTGGGGGAGCACACTACCTTTTTGAGAATTTAAATTTAAATCCCGTTGATCCATCGGGAAGGCCACCAGCTCTACCTGGGAGGGTCCTGCTTCCAGGTGGCCAGCGGGCGGCGGGCTGGGTCGACCCTTGCCATCCCTGGGTTCCAGGTGGAAGACAGCCATGCCGGCCAGGAGCCTGCCCCGCACCGGGATGACCTGGAATCCCTCCTGAGCGAGGTACCGCCAGGGCACCTGGGCCCACGCAGCACACAGGGTGCTGCAGCCTTGGGGCCCTAAGGGGTGGAGATCAGAGCCACTGCTTTGTGGCTTCTCCAGGGGAGCCCGCCCCGCCCACCACTATCCTCCACCCTTCCTGGTACCCCTGGGTCCCCAGGCCCTCGAACCAGTGCCAGGCTGCTGGAGCCCAGCTTACCCCGGGACAGCCAGGCGGTTCCTGCACCTCCTCCCTCAGGCCCCCACCCTAAGACAAAGTTGCCAGGAGGACAAACTCCGCAGTGTTCCGCCACAGGTGGCCAACACACACCCTCCTGAATGTGCAGCATGGCACCTCAGGGGCCCGCTGACCTCGGGCACACCTCCCACAGGGCAGGTGTCTCCGGAGAGCCAGGGCTTGAGAAGTGCAGGTGTCCCAGGCTGACACAGTCAGGTGTCTGGGGTGCTGGGCAGATACTTGGAAAATGAGAGGTCCCTGTGACCCCAGTCCTGCAAGATGGGAGAGTCAAGCCCAGAGCAGGTCCAAAGAGCCACCCAGGAAGAAGCCAGCCATGGTGCAGGAAGGCCGTGGGGCTGTGCCCTGTGGCTGCTTTGAAGAGATGACGTGGCCTCCGCCCATGGGGGTCCTCTGGGGCCCAGGTCTTAGTTCCCCTTTGTGTCAGTGTCCTGGGGTGCCGAGGATGCAGGTGCGGTGGGCACCATGTGACCGCCTGGCTCCCTGCAGCACTCCTTTGACGGCATCCTGCAGTGGGCCATCCAGAGCATGGCCCGCCCGCTGGCTGAGGTACCCTCCTTCTCCTGAGCCACGGAGGAGCCTGCCCCAGTGACCCACGGCACCCTCGCCGTGGCTCCAGCCACTCCCTGCAGATGCTCGTGGGGTGGGGACCGAGGACACCGTGTACCCTGAAATTAAAGTCACTTCTGGGTTTTCGAGGTGCTGTGCAGTGTTTTGGGGGATCTGTGTGCCGGGTGCTATAGCACAGGCATCTGGCTGGAAGGGACCCACTTTGGCGGGAAGAGGACTCTGCAGGAAGTGCTCTGTACCCCAGGGTGACATCCAGGCGCTTGCTGCAGAGCCTGAGGCCCTGTATAGTCCGCTTTTCCCTTGATAGTCTGGGTCCCCCCCCCCCCCGACTCTGAGAATCCTTCAGCCAGTTTAGTCCAGTCACGAGGAGACCGAAATAACCAGGAGTCTTAGTTTCCAGTTCAGTGGAATCATTGTCATGCTCCCTGGGATAAGCCTTGCTCTCTGGAGTACAGACTTCAAGGCCTGCAGAGCAGAAGGTCACGGGAACAGAGAGAAAAATTTTGCTAGTGGGTCCCCAGGGGGCAGCGGTGAGGGGTGCCATTCCCACTTCCACCCCTTGACTCCCAGACCCATGAGTCCTGGCACGGGAGACACAGTGCCACACAGAGGACGCTGACTCAGACCATTTACAGCTTCGGGCCTTGCCCCAGCCCTGTGCCCCATTTCCGCATAGCTGGCATTGTAATTGTGTCTTCCAAAGACCGCTCTACTGTGCTGTCCATCCGGCTGCTTCCGGCTGGCGGGAACACTGCCAGACTCTGCTGGCCTGGAAAGAGCGCTGGGTCAGAAGGCACGTCACACCGGGAGTGGTGGCACAGGGCTGGAGGTTGAGAGAGAGGATTTGAGGTCAGCCTGGGCTACCCAGTGAATTCAAGATCACCCCAGGACACCACAAAAGAAATAAACAAAAGCCCTGTCTCCAAGCTAGTGGCATTCCGAGGGGATGAGGGTTAGGCTTCCCACACAGAGCTCTGGGGCTGGGTAGGGGACGTAGCCTCTCCTGGACTAAACTTGAGTCAGCCTCTTGTGGGTTCTTGGCTTGGCCTTGACCTTGGGCTCCATTCTTGACCCCTGTGGTCCAGTTGTTCTGATTCCCCGGTAGCCAACCAGATTCCTCCCCACCCCGGAGAGCCTGTCATGCTGACTCGATCCTTCAAGGATGTGCTGAGTCCGCACAGCCACAGCCCCTACCGCCGACGCCTCCTCCTGATCCTGTGTGAGAGGCTCCGGCCCTTGGGTATGATGAGCAAAGGATTGAAAGCGCATACCCAATGGTAAAAGAGAGAGCAGCTGCATTTCTTAAAGCTGACGGGGGAAAGTGTGCTTGAGTTTGTGCCAGCGAAAATAAAAGTGGGACAGAATTGGAAGGATGGTACCGGGCCATGCAGGAGTAGGAAGAACAAAGATAAGGCAGGTTTTCAGATTTTATAAGCCGTGCACCCCACCCCAGGGGCCTGTCCTTGGATCTCTGCATCTGATTGACAGAAATGATCGACAGGTTCTCCTTATCCTGTAACCTGGTTTAAATGCGGGTAAGCGAAGGTCCGGCCACAGGATCTAGGGCAGGTGCTCCGGCCTGGCACTTTAGAGATTTCCTGGGTCTTCGTTGTTCTTATTTCTGTTTCTCCTAGGCTTGGCCTAGAGTGCTGCCCAGATTGAGGTGGGGGTGAAGCAGGAAAGAGGGAGGACCCCGGCACAGACAACTCTTTAGTGCGAAGATAGGAGCAAAAGCGGCTTTTAACGTTGCCAGCGGATCAGCGAGTGACTCCTGTCAGTCTCGAGAGCCCCGAACAGAACTTTGTGCTTCCTTATATGTACCTTTTTTTACATCTATGACGCTTAGTTCCATTGGAGTTTCCCCAGGATTTGCACAAAGCAGAGCAGTGGGAGGCAGAGAGTGAAGGTTCTGGCAGGACTTTCTGAGCCCCGTAAGCTCCTTTGGTGACAGATCACAGAAGTTGCCGTGGCTGCTCAGGAGCATTCTACGGAGAGCACAGTTCCCCAGTTAACCCAAAGCTGCCCAATTCCGTGTGGAGGGGTGGTCTCCTCTCTCAGGTGGAGGGGAGAGGTCTCCCGGTGCTACCTGTACTATTCCCAGTGATCCCCACCTCTGCCACCCCACTTGTCCTTGTGGATACAGAGCTGCCACCTGTCTCCATGGCCAAGTCTCACTGAGCACGGTCCCGCTTGGATAAAGTCTGCCCCAATCATTTTATTTTGAGACAGGGTCTCATCATGGAGCCCAGGAATGGCCAGGGACTCTCATTTCTCCTGCCTCAGCCTCCTGAGTGTCAGGATTATAGGTGTGCACCTCTGAGGCAGGAGACCAGGGCGCAGCAGAGCTGGACATGGCCTCCAAGTACAAAGTCCCATGACACATGCACGGAGCCCAAACTCACTCTGCAAACCACATTTTCTCTTTTTCTTTCTTGTACCTGGGCTCAAACTTGTCCTTGAGCTTGTGAGGCAGGTGGCGGAACCACTGAGCTAAATCCCCAGCTCTTTTTTAAAATGTTTTTTTCTTTAATAAGTGCAAAACATCGCTCCCTTTTGCACTTGCGTTGACCAATTCTTTGCTCCAGACAGAGAGGACCTAGAAGCCACCTCGAGGAGGAGCCTCCAGGACCTCCAATCCCAATAAGACCCCCAGGCCTGGTTTTGCTTTAGTATCTTTAGCAAGTGTCCTGCCCACGTTTTCTTTACCAGGGGACACCAGGCAGCCCTGACCCCTCCTGTCTGCAGGAGGCTGCCCCAGGGCTGGTCCCAGGCCCTGACCTTGGCTTGGGGAGGGGAGATTACTAGTGATCTTCCGGGCCTGCCCGAGGAGGCCTCGTGGGACCACTGCGTTCCGCCCGGGGGTGGGGGGGGGCGGACAGGTCCTACTGGAGAAGCAGGTGAAGAATCTGGCTGTGTTGACAAGCCCGCTGGGCTCAGAGAAAGATTTCAAGAAACCATTGGATTCCAGAGAGCCAGCCAGGGCTGGAATCTTGATCAGATTAAGTGAATTCTGCATTCCTCAGAAACCCCGCCCTGTAAGTGGAGTGTGAAAATCACCCAAATGTTAACCTAGTGAAAAACGCCCAGGCTCCTTCTCTGAATCTTAGGGATCTAGGACTTGCAGTGCCCTCAGCTCCCCCGATCCTCCAGGCTGGGCTACTGCCTGCTGCAGGGGTGTCCTGGGGTCCTGGGACAGGCCACTTAGTCACTCAGTCCCGGAGACCAGCCTCTTCCTGCCCGTGCTCTGAGCTGCACAAAGGGTGGAGACCGAGGGAGGTGCTAGCTGATTCCTGCCCTGTCCTGAAGGACTCACACTCAGGCCTCACCCCTTCCCTCCTGGCCCCCGCCTGCTGGCCAGGCACAGCGCCCCCAACCCTCCTTCCCCGGTCCTGCAGGTGGGCGCAGCGTCTGCCGCAGTGCGAGCCAAGCGCCACCAGGGGGCGCGCGGCAGCATTCGCGGATTCCCTAAGACTGAAAATACAATGTCACCCCGCACGGCCAGGGATATCGTTCCGACAGTGAAGGGAGAGCAAGCTTGGTGAGTGAACGTAGATGAGGGTTAAGTTTTAGAATAGTATGCAGCTGGAAAAGGGAGGAAAACAATGAAGACAGTGGCCTCATTATAGGGAATTACAGGTGATTCTCCCTTGGCGAATGTTTCTCCTTTTTATTTTTATTAGTGCTTGTTTCAGCACACAGTGATCATTCCCCACGGGCAGGTGATGCAGGTGCCTCCTGTAGGGACGGGGCCGTGCTGGGGAAGGGTGAGAGGAAGGCCGCACGTGACCCCAGTAGAGAGATTAATATACTCATGGCAAAGTCCCCTGTACTTAATCCTTAAACTTCTGGTCCATGAAACCATCATTTTACCCTTCACCAAAGGACAGGGGAAAGTCACATTGCTGAGAAATCCAAGGTGAGGGTGAAAGACAAGCCAGGGAGCCAATCAGGTTCCAGGAGCCTGCATGGGGCACGGATCTCAATAGGAGGAGCTGCAGCGAGAAATCCCCAGTAAGTCCCAGCAGGCTCTCTCCTCCCCCTTTTCCCTACCTTCACATACACTGTATGTATTTTAAACTCTGCTTCTTTATTCTTTTACCAGTGCTGGTTTTAGGGTAGCTGGGAGCTGCAGGTTTGTCAGGCAGGGCAGTGGCCTGGCCTGGTTGGTTCGGCTTGCAGTCCGCCCCGGGCGGTACACTAACACATCCTAGTTCTATTTCCCTTCCCTCTCTCCCCTCCCGCCACCTCTCGGTGTCCTTCCCCTTTGGGAAAGCTTTGCCTTCCTGCTTCTCTTTTCTGTTTTTTCGATTCTGGCATTGAACCCAGGGCCTTGCACATGCTAGGTAGGTGCTTCACCACCAGGCTACATCCGCAGCCCTTTTTGTTTACTTTTGAGAACACTCCCCCTCCCTAGGTGGGCTGGCAGGCCTCCAATTTGAGATCCTCCTGCCTCAGCTTTTCAGAGCCGGGATTGCAGGTGTGCACTGTCAGGCGCTTTCTTATAAACTTTAAGTGACTTGGCGAGCAGGCCCTCCGAGGAGCGACTGAGCTGGCAGGAGCCTGTGCCGGGCTGGGCAGGGTGGTCTGGGCAGAGCCATCCGGTCCGGGCACTCACAGGTCCACGGCTGCTTCCCCCGGGCCCCACCTCCCGTCCATCTCCTGATCCGAGTGAGGCCCCAGTCGTTCGGACGGATGAGTGAAGTGGGAAGAGTACAAGTGTCAGATAGGGCTGGGTGCTCAGAGGGTTGGGATGAAGGTGAAACACCAACACCGGGCCTCAGGATAAAGAGAAGCTGACCAGACTTCCCGGGAGAACAAACCTGGGCCTAGTGAAGCCAGACAGACACTGGCCACCCCGGGGGTGAGCAGAGATGCTTCCTAGGGGAGTCTTTGTTCTCTCCGTCCTCTTGTGATTGGACTCATTCCCAATCGGACCACCGTTACCTAAGTGACTGTGCTTGTAACCTTGCTGGGTGAGCAAGGCTGCGGCCCACATGCGTTTCACCGTATGAAACTCCCGTAGAGTGGGGTCCAGCGCTGCTCCTCAGGAGAGCTCCTGTCGATAGAGATCTGACTACTCTCAGTCTCCATTATTCCCAGCTCT